ATTTTATGTGCCAGAAAAGGTTTAATGCTCGAACTGCACCTGTAATGTTTTCAAAATTCAAAGAACTTCTATACCACTATTATAATCGATTCGCAATATCTTGTGGGATGTGCAAGCGCATCTACTGCTGATCAACAAAATTTCATGGGCAATCTGACAGTTTCAAGTAGGGAGGAAGTGTGCCGTTAATGCAACAAACTCCTCAGCCTTCCACCAATCAATAGTCGATACATTGCTTGGCAAATCCTTTATGTTGAGGTGGCTTAGCTAATTTCGGGATCAATTTACCAGGGGAATAAGCCATAGATGTTGCTGAAGTTTATTCAAGGTTTAATCGAGCCGCATCAACTACGCTTCATTTGCTGATATCACGGATCTGAGCTTAAATAATAATATAGAAAAATAAAAGCCCTTTTGATGACAATACAAGTAGTAGTAAGTAGTCAATATTTTTTTCTGCATTCTAAGGTCAACGTAAAAGTTCACCTTTTGACCTAGTACCGTAAATGCAAGAGTAATAGTTGGGCATAATACTACTAGCCACAACGCATTTGCAATGATATTTGGAAAAAATGGATTGTATCATCAAGAAAGTATTCCAATTGACCTTTGAAAGTATAGTTATTCTTCCTTCTACGAGTGCAAGCGAAAGTATTCTTTCGCTTATTAGTTTTCAAATGTCTCTCTGCCTCAACTATAGTGCTTGTCGAACCAGAAGTTCATTCGCCTTTTGGCAGTCAATTGTGAAGCCTATTAGAGGTCAACTGTCTACGTCACACTTGTCTAGATTTGCAATGAGCTACCAATATAATTTTGCTGTCTATCAATAAGTGACATAGGCTTTTTGTAAAAATAATTCAGTAGTAATAATAGCAACATCAAAATAGCCCATACAAGGTTTATATTGGCCAAGCAAGAGTGGATTTGTCTGCATTTTTAGCTCTAAGGGGTTTAAGATACTTTGAACAGACCAGTAACATGGTATCGGAAACTGGACTAGTTTAGATAAAGGAAATAGTTTAGAAGCCATGGTTGGAGCTGAGAGGAGGAGAGAGAGGAGTGTTAAAGAGTGCTCATCTGATCGCATTTTGAGTTGCCAAGTTTATACGAATCATAATGGTGGATTTTGCGACCAAACTTGCCTTGCATGTGAAGATGGGTAGTCTGCCACTTTCTAGTCTTAGGAACTTACTTTCAGAAAAGACTTTTACGACATTAAATGCAGAACTAATTGCAGGAATGTGCTATTTTGACACTTTGTTAAAGAAAAGCTTGTCGCTCTTCTACAACACTGAGATTCAATCGCTTTTCAAAACTAATTCTTGTTGAGCCTATCTCTCCCATACCGAAACTTAACTTTTTACTTCACACTTCAACTATCGCCATTCAGAAACAGGTTCAGCATCCTGCTAAACTTCTATTTTCAAAATAAGTTTCTGGCCACTGGGCCCAACAACTAGTTGATTTCCCCTCCTTCACCTCCTCTTTACGGACTCGTCTTTAAAATGTCGTAGATCCTCAGGCATCCAGTGCACTACTTGCCTTCCCAATAAGTAGCTGTTCAGTGGAGGATTTACGTCCAAACGGCCATTGCTCCTTTCCCCCC